TAAATTAACTAAATTAGAAAACATGAAACCACTAAATAACCGTTTCTTACGATTATGAAACTCCCCATTAGTGATTATCCATAGTTAGTGGTGTTCAACCATTTCTGATGTGTGACAATTATTCACTTCAGATAGTGAATGACGACTTGGTAATGTCGTAAATCTATTGAAGTTGAATATCAAACCGTTGGATTCCGGCTCAATAGGCTAAAGACCAAGAATTTACGCACGTGAGTGATGGTTTTAGGTTCAATTCCCGAATGCAAGGTCGTGAGAGTGGACTGATGAATAGTCCTACTCCTACTTTTAAAGTTCATATTTCACAATCATACAACGATGGACGACTAACTAGTGAGGAGAAAATGCACCCTTTGGTTTTCATACAAACATTTTACCTACGCCATAAGTAACACAAGTTTGCAAATACCAACCGGGCTTTCTAAATCAGTGCTGAGGTTTTGTCCGATATCAATCCTTCAGGGTTAGTAAGGCTTTCAAGATAAGTATAGCGATCAACTTATTTAGTTACTTCACTTCACATCGCTAGTTCATTCGCAAACACTAACCATTCCTATCACAAAAGTTTCCATTTAGAGTAAGAGAAATGCATCGTAAGCATGCCAACATTGTTTTTCAGGGCGATCATAAGACTCCACATTCTGTCATCTTCACAAAAATGGACTATATCATCTGTTCATCCTAGGTCGTTAAGTGAAACTCATGGTAAGAGATCAACTCCTTAAAAATTAAGCGTAAAAAGTTCTACTTCTAGCAGAACACCTTCAACAAATTAAATAATGAGAGGATGATGATGAACATTAGTTAAGACTGATAGTCCTAAAAACAGTTCACTATTAGCTTTAACTTGATCAACAACACCAAAGTAGAGAGCGTTCATATAGTTTCCGTACTTCTTAGATACGTTTTTCAACGACAAACATTCCTATAAAACTTCTTTGTTGAACTAATTTATTAGTTCTGTACATTTACGCTACTTTACAACTATTCTGACAGTAGATTACGTAATACAATTTAATGCAATCCAAATCAGTTAACCTACTGTATATATACACAAGTATTCATTTTTGATTGATCATCGAAACCGGTTAATGAACAAACTATCATTATTCGAATTGAAAATAGTTTCAACGAACCTTACTTACTTACTTACGCCTGTTACTCCTAATGGAGCGTAGGCCGCCGATCAGCATTCTCCAACCCACTCTCTCCTGGGTCTTCTTTTTTAATTCCATCCAATTCTTGTTCATTTTTCTCATGTCTATCTCCATTTCTCGGCGTAATGTGTACTTTGGTCTTCCCCTTTTTCCTTGGCCTTGAGGATTCCATGTGGGGGCTTGTCTTGTGACGCAGTTGGGTGCTTTCCTCAATGTGTGTCCTATCCACTTCCAGCACTTCTTCCTGATTTCTTCCTCCACTGGGATCTGGTTTGTTCTTTTCCATAGTAGGTTGTTGCTAATAGTGTCCGGCCAACGGATTCAACGAACCTTACTTTTATTATTATTATTATTATTATTATTATTATTATTATTATTATTATTATTAGTAGTAGTAGTAGTAGTAGTAGTAGTAGTATTGGTAGTAGTAGTATTGGTAGTATTAGTATTAGTATGATTAATATCAACTCTGATTGATGGGAAAAATGTTTTATTTCTAAAAGAATCTTATTTCCATCTGAGCAATATATATGAGCATTCTAAATAAACATATAAAGGTTAAGAGTAAATATTGCAAAGAGATTGAAAGTTGAATTTACATATCTAAAATCTAAAATTGAATATAAAATATCGCTTAGTAACTGATTGTTTTTGTTTGAAACTCGTCATTTATTCATTAAAATTCATCAAAGTTACTAATCCTAGATCACCATGGTAACCAATTTTTTTTTCAATTCATGACCTTTATCCATTACATCCACTCTTTTCCTTAATTTTACATGTTGAATGAGAAAAAATCTGTTAATAATAATAATTAAAATGCAATGAAGAACTAGATATTAGCAACAATTTAAGTTACAAATCAGAAAAATGCTTCTCCCCCCCCCCTTCTTCCAGCCAAACAAGTTGGTGAAGTCTAATAGGTCCTTCTGGAGAGATACAGGCCACATCGAAGCACAGTACAACTACAGATGCTAGAATAGCTGTTTTTGCAATCGGTTGGAGTTTGCCTCATGGGGAGAAACCCCATACATTCCATGTACCAATTTTGCTAATTTTTTGTCATTTTTCGATCCAGGAGTAATTGTGCTGTGATTCTTTGTGGGTATCGGTCGAGTGAGTGATTAGCCCGATCTCTACCACCCGGGGTACCGTTCACGTCAGATCATGGGACTGAGTTCCACTATCCAAGAGGCACGATGAGGACGTGTGAGTCGGGTTTCGCCTGCCATAAATCGGAAAAATGGGTTATAAAATTCATGTTCCTTTTTCTATGACATTGATAAATCTTCTAATTGAACGTTTGATTCGATTTCTTAAGCTCTTTTAGTAACCCTCAGGGTAAATGTACACGGCAACTTAAACATGAGAGAAAAGACGGGAAATATAGAAAGAACTCTTTATTCAAAGGTTAGTTTATGTACAGGAAATCTAGGAAACTTATAATACTTCAGATAGACTTGGGCCTATGGAAAGTTCTGGAACCCTTCTAAACATAGAAGCAGGTTAGGCAACTATTCAATCAGAAATGTGACACGTGACTTTTCACTTTTTAAATGTTTCTGAGAAAATCCTATTGAATGCTGATTCTATAAGATGTTTCCCATTGTTTTCAAGGCCCTCTTGGGCTATATTCAAGGACATTTCTGGGTCTTCCCAACAGATATAGTGTTTATTTACTGCTGAAATCTTAATACTACACTTAAAGTGATTTGATATAAGTAATAGCTATGTGACCAAATTAAACTGAACATTCTCATAAGTTTCAGAATATCTGACTGGGATTCATTCTATTGTCGTGATGCACGATGCAACTAAATAACTATACACCAGGTTCAATGTTGTTTCTTACTGACTGACTAATTTGAACTAGATCTATTTACATAAATACTGAGTGAGCAGTAAATAATTTGAATATGGATGTCAAGACTTTCATTAAGGAAACCTCCCAAATTCCCTGGTACGACCGAGAATGAGGAGAGTCAGATCTCCCTCTCGAAATGTTCTCGCATGGCCACGTACAAACAATCACCGCCAAGACCGTCCTACACACTGCTTTCTGGTGGCAGGGGCGTTGTTTACGAAATTGAGAGAAAAGCGAATGTCCGGTGCTTTAATTGTATGATGGCTATAAAGGATCCACATAGGGGAGTTAGGAAACCCCGATTCCAAACCAATAGTGCACCTGGACTCCAGGATCCTGAGAGGAAAAAATGGTGTATGGACCTATTGTTGGTCACCAGCTACCATGAGACTGCATCTCCTGACGTTGCTCCATTGCCCTGTGAATCAGACCTTTAGTTCAAAGGCTCGTGGAGTATCTCTTTAAGAAAACCACCCGCCTTCGTTTGGACACCCACATTTCCATATTCACCAGAACCATCTGCATACTGAACACACATGGATTTAATCTAAAAAATTAATAGAAACCTATTCACAGTTATAAGCTAACAATCTTATTCGCTTTAAAAGAACATGCTTAATTTTCTAATATACCATAGTGTCGTGTTTAGCAGGTAGCTCGAGTGATCAACATAAACACAAACTATTTTAATCAAGTATGTAAGAACCTTCGACTAAATTTGAGTGAATACATACTTACGCCTGTTACTCCTCGTCGTGGAGCATAGGTCTCCCATAAGCACTCGCCATCCAATCCTGTCCTGAGCAATCCTTTCCGGTTGTTTCTAGTTGATATTCATCCTTCTCATATCTGCCTCCAATTCCAGACGGAATGTGTTCTTTCGCCTTCCACTTTTCTGCTTCCCTTCACGATTCCAACTTAGGGCTTGACTTGTGACGCAGCTTGGTGATTTCCACAATATATGTCCTACCCATTTCCATCGTCTTCCCATAATTTCCTCTTCAATTGGAAGCTTGTTTTTCCCCTCACACAGAAGGATCTTACTGATAGTATCCGGTCAATGGATGTTGAGTATCTTGCGTAGACAATTATTGATAAATACTCGTACCTTCTTGATGATGATTGTAGTAGTTCTCGACGTTTCAGTTCCGTATAGTGGAACTGTGTTGACGTTTGTATAGCATATTGTGACTTGAATGTAGGTTGACAGTTGTTTTGAGTTCCATATGTTTTTCGACTGTAGGAATACGGATCTTGCTTTGCCAATCCTCACATTTACATCTTCAATAGATCTTTTTTGTTCATCAATGGTGATACCCAAATACGTGAAGGATTACACATCTTCCAGAGTTTCATCATCATCAAGTGTAATTGGGTTAGTGTTCTCCGTGTTGTATTCGAGGATCTTGCTTTTTCCTTTATGTATGTTGTGGCCGACTGTTGTTATGGCTGCTGCTACACTAGTTGTCTTCATCTTCATTTGTTTGTGTGTATGGGATAGAAGAGCTAGGCGATCTGTGAAGTCCAAATCTCCTAACTGATTCTGAGTTGTTCATTGTATTTCGTGCTTTCCCTTATATGTCGAGGTCTTCATAATCCAGTCAATTTCGAGAAGAAAGAGGGAAGAGGAGATTAGTAAGCCTTGTCTGACTCCGGCTCTTACTTGGAATACATATGTCAGCTTTTCTCCATTCAATACTTTGCACTGTAGTTTGACCGAATAGTTTCACAGTATTTAGGCACCGTGTTTACGTAAGACATTAATGAAGAAGAATGTATTTGCAAAAATTCATCCGTTGAGATTTGATAAATGCATTCTTACTTCTCAATATTTTAATCACGTTTGAATAAATTCAATTACATAGAATGTCTCTTCTGTTTATATCTTCCTTACATCTTATGAAATAATACATTCGACTCTAAAACGTTCACTTTCACTGTTATTCGTTTTTCTTTTACAGTCGACATTGGTATGTTCTGTAACGAAATCGATATGTTATGTCGATCATCAAACTCTATTTGTTCAAATGGGAAGGTGATCAATAATATCTATTTATCACCACAGTGTATTTGTCAAGATGGATATTTACCAGTTTATCAAGAATATTTAGATTATTATGAATGTAGTAAGTTATTCCGTTGTTTATGTATCCATGGTGTGAATAATTTATAGCTGTCTGATATGTCCAGAGTATAAATCTTTATCATTGATATAGAACTTAGAAATTCGGTGTACTATAATTGTATTGATTCATAACTAAGGTGAATGACTGTTTGATTAATGTAAACCCAGGACACAATCTTATTCTATAATTTAAATAATTAGATGATTATCCGAATGGGGTTTTGTGGACACCATAGTAATTGAATAGTTGAAATCATGAGTCGATTTAAGCTAAACCATTATGGAAAACCTGAGAGCATTGGACAGCCATTTCGTCCTAGTATGGGACTCCTCAGTAATTCGCATCCATGATCCCACAAGAATCCAGGGTTTTCTGTCTCGTGCATGAATATCTAACATGTAACCTAGTTTGATGACATTCAGTGGTGTTAATTTTTGAATTGAACCAATCTACGACATTGCGCGACCGTCCGCCATGAATTCAACTATTAACGATTATTAGATGGGATTTTGTGGAGATTTTTTTAGGAATTTCAATAGTTGAACTCATGAGTCAATTGAAGCTAGACCATCATAGAAAACCTGGAAATACTGGACAGCCATTTCGTCCTATTGTGGGACTCCTCAGTAGTGTGCATCCACGATTCGGCTCCCCGAGAGATTCAAACCAAGGACCTATCAATTTCGCGCGCGAGCGCCTAACCAATTAATTAGATATTCTGAAGTTCAAAAGCAACGATTTTCCCCTGTAAAATATATGATATGCTTCAATCAGAAACTCTAATTTACATTTTACTTCATTTCAGTCAATTACTGACTACTAATATTTAAAAAGTTTGTTTTTCGACCTGATGTGCTATATTAAACAACTAAATGATCACTTCTGCTTTTTCCTCTTATCTTTCATAGTTCCAGTCTGTGATAAATGTCACTCAATAGATCAACATCGTCGTCAAAAACATTGCGTATGTCCAGAAGTTGTCCAACGAAATCAAATTCACAAGGTCTATGAAATCAGTAAGAACATCCAAGACAATATATTTCGTAAGTTTACCTAATAACTAAAGAATTTCAATTTTGATCATAAATCATACTAAAGTTTTAGTTGATAAACTTGGGACAGACTATCCTTAGCCATTTTTGATTTTTGTCAAATTGATGAAAATACTGCTTGTCATTGTAGATCATTTCGTCAGTTAATTGCTAAAAATTCCTCTCAATTCAACAAACATAATGAAGAGTAAACATATAACACAAACTCATCGGTATAATGTTCTAGTTAACTCAGACAATTTCACACTTTACTCTCTGTTCGTTTGGTGTTGTTTACTTGTATCTTCCCATTGAAGTTTAAGACTTCAATTGATCAGTCTGTTATTGGAATATGTACATTCTGTGCGGATTGCCTCGAGATTGCCTAAAGTCACAAGCTTTATAAACAAAGACGGATAGTGGCTGACATTGAAACCCAGGACGCTTTCTTCCTTCTTATTTGAGACTCGTCAGATGGATGTGCCTGAATCCCAGAGTTGATGTTCACTCTGAAGCGAACGGTACGATCAAAGTTGTAACTCATTGAGGTATCAATTATGTCATTAGAAACGCAATCAAATGGAAGATGAGAAATTCGGATAACAGAACAGGGACAATTTCGTAAAGCACAATATTAATCAAAGGATGATACACGGTCATGTGACGAATAGCGAATAAAACACTATTTTGACTTCTAACCTTTAAAAACAGGTTATTTGTTTAAAATCGACAGAAATTCAAAGAGTGACATCCATATTGTCTAATAAACAGCAAAAAAGAAGTGAAGTTCTACTGTAAATATGAGAAATGGCCTGAATTATTGTAAAAATAGTATACTTGTGCGAAAAGAGAAATAATTTGAGTTAGGGAAATATTTTGAATCATAATGGAGAATGCTATAAAAAGTGTAACTATCAGCAAACTACTGAATTATGACAAGTAGTATGGTACAATATACAAAAGGGGATGAAAGAGATATTTTCATTCGCCTCAAAATTAAATAAATTTGTTCTTATACGTAAATAGTAATTACAAATTAGATGTGGTACATTTCACATACAGAAAGCTATAATAAATTCAAGCCAAAATACAGCAACATACTATTGACCCGACCGTTGTTGCTACCTTGACGTGGTGGTCGGGCTTGCCTATCGTGATGAAGCGACCGAGCTATACTGGCTGGAACAACCGTTCCTCAAAGTCCTACCATGTCAGAAAGGTCGGCTGAAGAGCGGTAAGACTAAAAGCAACAAACCCAAGGTCCGAAGGTGAAGTCGTACTGCTGACTGTACAGAGGTGTGACAGCAGTAAGGTGTTTCCTTCAGACAACCAGTATGACAGCGATGCTGCCTTCCCACAAGGAGGGGTGGGATTAGAAAAGTCGATCCCTAAAAATGCACACCTCGCCTTATCCCACAGATATCCGTCTCCGGCGGCAAGGTCTCAAGAAGTACGGAGCTAACACAAAAATTACCCATAAAAAGGTCATGTGTGACCGACCTCAAGCAGTTGTCCCTTGGGCACTGTGGTCACGCTCTCAGGTCACTAAGACCACCTCTAATCCAATTTCCTTTTCAGGCACCTCCAGAAGAACCATTCCACGGTGTGGGAAACTGGGAAGTGATAACCGTCCTTATACCTCTAACAGCACTCAAGACCATTGTATTCATAGTCAACCTCCCTCTTCTAACATACTAGTGAACAAGATGAATAGTTAGTCATGAAACGTTTAACACACAAAATTAACAAGTTTCACCGAAACGATATTAAACATATATTAATCACAACTAATTGATTCATTGGTTTAACATTAACTTATTCATTAAGACTCTCTGAAAGTGTCAACTTAAAGATGTGATCTTTTTTGATTAGATTAAAAACCAAAGATTTAGCTAGTGTCAGAAGAAGTTTTATGGACATTATAGTAATTTTAATAGCTAAAACCATGAGTCAGTTGAAGCTAGACCACCATGAAAAACTTGGAAGCACTAAAAAGCCGTTTCGTCCCGCCATGCAACTTGTCAGCAGTGCGCATCCACAATGAAATGGTTTTCCAGTATTTCCAGGTTTTCCATGGTGGTCTAGCTTCAACTGACTCATGATCTCATATATTTAATGGTTTAACGATCCCCGTCATATTAAAAGACCAATATCTGAACGAAGAATATTGCTTTCCATTAATTCTCTTCAGGTCATCCAATTCATATATAACAGAGACAATTGCATTTGACTACGAAAGGTCGTACATACAATAGTCAAATTAGGTCATTCAATAGCTAAGATTACCATTGATTAATTGGCATTGAGGTTGGTCAGAGGAGAAGGAGTGGTTGAAGATATTTATTTTGTACTCACAGATTTGGTTTCGTCATCCAAATGGCTACCACTCCAGTCATTTAAAGGACTGTAAGTTTGACAAGGTTTGGCGAAAAATCACTGGCCTTATAAATGGTTGAAAAGGATTGGTTTAAACAGGCACTATGATCAGTTTTTACTAAATGGGTCAATATCGAGCTGTTCACTCTTCACCAAACCTTTTTTTAGCCACTCTGGGAAGTGATAGCGAGCACGAAAATGTACCATGCGCGTAGAAAATACTAATCGTAGTTCTCCGGCGTTAAAAGATTTTTGTACTGTCCGTTGCAATCTCTAAGTTGATATTTCACTACTTCCATCTCCTCTGATCTGTAGGCGCGTGAACAGGCATTTCCTATTCATCGTTTATATTTCTCTTATTCTTATATTCGCGATTATATATTTAGAAATAAACTTTCTATGGTAGAAGTTCTATTCTGTTTTGTTTGATAATCCTAAATTCACATGCTTTAAACAATGTACTTTGCATCAGAAGGGGTTTTGTGGATATTGCAGTAATTTTAATAGTTGAACTCATGAGTCAATTGAAGCCAAACCACCATGGAAAACCTGGAAGCACTGAACGGCCGTTTCGTTCTACTGTGGGACTCCTCAGTAGTGCGCATTCACGACCTCACCCCCTGAGAGATTCGAACCCAGGACCTACTGGTTTCGCGCGCGAGCACTTAACCACTAGATCACTAGACCAGTGCTTCCAGGTTTTCCATGGTGGTCTAGCTTCAGCTGACTCATGATCTTAGCCATTGAAATTACTATAATATCCACAAAACACATCTGATACTAATCAACATGTGCTCACTAGTGACTAGCATCAAGAGATATTTCCTAGAGTTCTAGTGAGAAGCAGTGACCAGTGGAGTTCAACCACGTCTGTTGTGAGATAGTAACTCACTGAAGACAATGATAGATGTGTCGCTCAATTTGGTGGATTAGTTGGAGTTAGACATTAACACTATTATTATTATTATTATTATTATTATTATTATTATCATTTGTATGATATTATTGTTTCTTTTTTTCCTTTTTTCTTTCGTTGTTTTCATTGAATATAAAGATCTTTCTGGTACACAGCAAAACATCACAATCTGTTTTAATCTTTCTATGGAACATCAATCTTCTATTTTTATAAAAAATGATACAACACATTTGATTGTATTTATTTCAAATCAATTAAACTCACCATACCCATATGATAGTTGCCTATTAAGTATGTTTAAAGAAGGAATATGGTGTAAAACATTTAATTATTCTAAGAATTACGATATTTTAACAAGATGTGCATCTATTCGAATTCATCATAAAAAGGTAAGTATAAATGGATGTTATGATCTTCTTCTTATTCATTACGCCTGTTACTTCTCGTGGAAGAATATAGGCCGCCTATCAGCACTCGACATCCAACCCTCTCCTAAGCAATCCTTTCCAGTTGTTATTCATCCTTTTCATATCTGTTATAACTTGTGGACTTCAGATTAGAGAGCAGCGTATTATCGATCGGACCAAAGACGCGTAAACACGTGAGAACAACCTAGAGTCCTGATTGGTCCCGCTTCCCTGTCTACCCCAGCCAGATGAGTTAAGAAAGCAAGCCTCAGAATCTGAGATATGAATCGCTATATACCAATCAAGCAGACCACATCGTACCATAAAATAGAAAATAACATTTGTACAATATTTGGCCAACAGGAAAATGAAGGAAAATGAAACGTAAAATAAATATTGATTAATAGGAAAATGATACCGTCTCAAGTCGAAGGATAGAGTTAGACTTAACAGAATAATTTTTGGAATATTTTTCTGAATATCTCAACAATATCGGCTTCCGATTCCCGATGTAATGTGCTATTTCGGAACCAATCCCGCGGGGAGGGATTGTGGATGCGCACTGCTGAGAAGTCTCACAAAAGGACGATATGGTCGTTCAGTGCTTCCTGATTTTCAATCATGGTCTAGCATCAATCGATTCATGACTTCAATCAAATACTTCAGTTTTGCAATTAATAAGATAGTTGAATTGTTTAAATGTTAAATTAGACTATTTGTTAGAAGGGGTTTTGTGGAGATTATAGTAATTTTGCGCCCGAGAAGGATAGATCCTGGGTTCGAATCCCGCGGGGGGGGGCGGGGTCGTGGATGCGAACTGTACTATGTCCGCACTAGAACGAAACGGCCGTCCGGTGTTTCCAGGTTCTCCATGGTGGTCTAGCTTCAATTGACTCATGATTTCAACTATAAAACTATTTTAATTTTATACCATTATCTCAATTGTTTTCAATAATCTTGTTTCATTTATCTTTCATTTCTTAGAAAGAGATTACTTTTAAAGCATTTGTCATTGTTTTATATCAATCAACATTTGATTTTATAATTAGAGATATACAATATTTCATTTCATTTACATCATATTGGAATGAAGACTATATTACTATAGATTCAACTGATATCAAGTAAGTTTTGTATTATTGTACCACAATAGAATGTACTTTTTGAAGCTATATACATATATAAAAAGGTGTGAGATATATGACATAACCGATTGAATTTAGCCAGACAACCATATAGAATTAGATGCTTCTAAACAATTGATTCCCTATAATTTGGAACTGTTTAAAGTGAGTGGCTACGATTCTTTTGGTACCTGAACCAATAAGGGCGGCCTGCTTGAGCATCTGGGCTACCTGTTCTGCCACTAGATATTCAACAAGTTATCTATTTTTTTTAATATATCATTATGTTTATCGCATAACCTATTCTGCTGCGTTTCTGAAAAGTGTACAACCTTTCGTTGTCAATGTTACAAAAAACTCAATAAGAGACAATGTGGTTGCTGACAATATACAACGGAAAGGATGCACATTATTCAGATGTTCATTTACTGAACTGCTAACATCTAACTGCGATCACCCGATATCTATCGCCAGGACCGACGAAGAAGAAGAAACGGAAACTTGTTGAAATACTGTGCGCTGAGAATTCTATATTGTACCAAAATAATATTGAATAAGCTGATGATAGTAATAGTAGTAAAAGAAGGTCACAAATTGAACTATCCAGTTGCTTTTAGACTGTTGGTTTATAATTCATTAGTGTGTATTTCAAATTACAGTCAGTTTGGTAAATAGAATGAAAATCAGTTAATTTCATGAGTAATATGATTGGATTTCACTTATTATGTCTTCTTATTAGAATTCTAAGAATTTTCCTTGAAAGTAGTCAGTGGTAATTCCAAGAGTCCAGCTGTTTACAGTGTGACGACAGTGTAATATCACAAATAGATAAAAGTTGAAAATTTGGATCACGGGATACTGGCTTAGTAATTTAAAAGTAAAGTATTAGCCAGCAGGTCTAAAATTCCTAGGTTCAATTCATGTGTTGATCATATGTGCATACCGACAAACAGAACGCAAACTAGGTCAAAACAAATGTCAAATAGCCTCTGATATCCAAACGTTCTCTAGCTTAAATCCGTCTTTAATGTAAACATATTTTAAACAGAATAAGTCCCTTAAAACTTGTTATAACTTGTGGCATTATGCCTTATTAATATATTACATAATGACATCGCCAATTAGAGAACAGCGATTTATCGACCGAACCAATGAAACATAAAACCCATACGACCAATCTACAGTCCTTATCGATAACGCTTCCTGAATGGCCATGCCTTCTTGTTGAGTCCAGAACACCAATCTCAGACACTGCAATATCAATCATCTATTTCAAGTATACTGGGTTTATATACAAACCAAACAGACTACATCGTATCATGAAATAGGAAAGAACATTTGTACAAGATTTAGTCAAATGTGACTGTGAATGTGAGAGATAGTAATTGATAGACTGGACATAACTCAAGAATGGCAGATCGTATAATAATAGTTCATAAGTCAAAATAGGGCTTATGATTTGAGGAACACGAATATGAATAGATTAGTATTAGTCCATAAACAGATCCAAACAGTTATCATTCCTTATTCTCATCGGAATATGACAACTTCTTACATTTTTAGAAAAACACCAGTACAATTCATTTTATACAACGGTTTCAGCAAACTTCAGAAGATTGAACTTCGGCTGCTTACTAATCACCTTGAATGATTTCAAGGTCTCCATCTGATGTCCTGTATCAAGGAGATGTTCGGTGATCGCAATGTTTAGAGTCTTTCTTTCTTTTGTTCTGAGACTTTTTGGAACATGTTCATTTTATAGTTTAGTACATAAAAAATAAAACAACAGATTATGTTTGTAAGGAAGTTAATGAGTAAGAAGATATACTACTGAATATATATCACGTACTACTTTAATATGCATAGTCAATTCAATGATGCTAATTGAATATAAATTCTAATAGAGAATATTGTTCTCACTTTAATATTTCATTATTAAAATTCATGATCATTTCTAAGTGGTTATTTTACTTCTAATACGTGTCTTTGATATAATCGTGTATAGGCATAAATCTCATTGTAATGTGTTTTAATGAAATTGTTTTATTTCTATTCACTTGGTATTGTTTGCTTGAATCTTCCCATTGAGTCGTAAGACTGCAGTTGATCAGTCTGTTATTGGCATACATGCATACTTTGCGTATTGCCTCAATATTGCCTTAATTCCGAAGCTTATAAACAAAAATGGATAGTGGTTAGTAGTGGAATCTAGTTTGAAGCGCGTTTCGTTCTATTTGGGGCTCGTCACCTATACAATTGCAGTTTTAAACATGAATGGAAAGATTCAAGCAAACAATACCAAGTGAATTTAAATCCACCGATCGCATAAGCAAGTGGCTATCAGGACTCAGTAATTGAATGGATAACGCGATGGCGAGTGGTACTAGGTTCGAGTCCCATAGTGAAAATCAACTCTGAGATGCAGGTACATTCAACTGACGAGTCCCAAATAGGATTAAGCGGCGCACGTCCTGGATTCCACTGTTAGACACTATTCATCTTTATTTATAAAGTTTGTTTTATTTATGTTTTTATGGTATAAATTATTTTTTACACCCATCAACATCTATTAAAGGTAACAGATTAGATTCTAGAAATGATTTGTAATACATTTTTATATTTTAATGAATAATGTTAAAGGTAAATTGTACTTGTTATGATCATCTTATAACTTGTAAAAAGAAGATGAAGCATTAAGTCTAATCACTTCTAGATAGGAAGAATTTCAAGGTAATTGCCAGCTTAGATGTAACAACGTCAAATATTTCTTCTTTGGATAAGAGTTTTCTTATATCCCGATGAGAATAGTGAATGGTAACTTTAGGGATCTATTTGTGAACCAGTACTATGCGTATATTGTTGTTAAGTAACAAAGCTATTCATATTCGTGTTCCTCAAATCATAAGCCTTATTTTGACTTATGAACTATTATTATACGATCTGCCATTCTTGAGTTATGTCCAGTCTATCAATTACTATCTCTCACATTCACAGTCACATTTGACTAAATCTTGTACAAATGTTCTTTCCTATTTCATGATACGATGTAGTCTGTTTGGTTTGTATATAAACCCAGTATACTTGAAATAGATGATTGATATTGCAGTGTCTGAGATTGGTGTTCTGGACTCAACAAGAAGGCATGGCCATTCAGGAAGCGTTATCGATAAGGACTGTAGATTGGTCGTATGGGTTTTATGTTTCATTGGTTCGGTCGATAAATCGCTGTTCTCGAATTGGTGATATCGTTGCGCTATACATTAATAGGGCACAATACCACAAGTTGTAAAAGAATTATAAACTGTTGAACATTTATCCATTAATTTCTTGTTTATTTATTCTCTAATTTCTTTCTTTGTAGAATGATTCATGGGAATTACACTACTAGGAATCAGTCGAAAATTTTAGAGAAAATTCACCAAAATTTAAAATTTACAATTCAAAATGATTTAAACAAGAAATATGCACGAAATGTTATTGATACAAGAGAATCTATGCATTTGCATGTAGAGTATTATTATCAAAATAGTGAGTGCTTATTATTTATGCATAAATACTTTTTTTCTTTTTCTTTTATTTACTAACGACTGTTACTCCCAATGAAGTATATGCCGCCGAACAGTGTTCTGCAACCTACTCTCTCCTGGGCCTCCTAGTTCTAGCCAGCTACTGTTTGTTCTTTTCATGCATGTCTCCATTTCTCAGCGTAATGTGTTCTTTGGGTCTTCCTGTTCTCCTTTGGCCTTGAGGATTCCAATTGAGGGCTTAAATTGTGACGCAGTTGAATGCTTTCCTCAATGTGTATCATATCCACCTCTAGGGCTTCTTCCTCATTTCTTCCTCCACAGAAATCTGGTTTGTTCTCTCTCACAGTAGGTTGTTGCTGATAGTGTCCGGCCAACAGATCCGAAGTATTTTGTGTAGACAACTGTTAATAAACACTTACATCTTCTGGATGATTGCTTTCGTACTTTTCCAAGTTTCCGCTCCATACAGTAGAACCGTGACGACATTTGTATTGAAAATTCTGAGTTTGCTGTTGGTTGATAGTTGCTTTGAGTTCCAGATGTTTCTCAGTTGTAAATATGCTGCTCTTGCTTTACCGATCCGCGCATTCACATCTGCATCACATCCACCGTGTCAATCAATGATGCTGCCCAGATACGTAAAGGTTTTTACATCTTCCAAATCTCCTCCGTCAAGTGTGATTGGATTGGTGCATACAGTGTTGTATCAAAGAATCTTGTTTTTCCTTTTGTTTATGTTGATACCCACTGCTGCTGAGACTGCTGCTACACTGGTCGTCCCCCTTAATTTGTTGTTGTATGTGCGATAGAAGAGCCAGATCATTGGCGAAGTCTAGATCGTCCAGCTGCACCCAAGCTGTCCACTCGTGCTTCCCACAGACATTGACGTCTTCATAATCCAGTCAATCATTGGGAGAATGAGAAAAAGAGAGAGAGTGAGAGTAAACAACGTTGCCTGACACTGGTCTTTACTTCGAACGAGTCTGTCAGTTGTCCTCCATGCGTGATTTTTCAATTTAATCCATCATCCGAATTCCGTGTGATGTTGACTATCTTCTCTGTATCGTTCCAACTTTGGTGTATGTACCATCGAAGCGAGTACGGTGTTACTGACTGACTGACTGACTGACTGACTGACTGACTGACTGACTGACTGACTGACTGACTGACTGACTGACTGACTGACTGACTGACTGACTGACTGACTGACTGACTGACTGACTGACTGACTGACTGACTGACTGACTGACTGACTGACTGACTGACTGACTGACTGACTGACTGACTGACTGACTGACTGACTGACTGACTGACTGACTGACTGACTGACTGACTGACTGACTGAATGAATGACTGACTGACTGACTATCTTCTCAGGCACGCCTTCATAGTGTTGTTCTTTCCACACTATCGAATGCTTTATCATAGTCAATGAAGTTGATATAGAGTGGCCAATTCTATTCAATTGATTGTTCCACAATGATCCGTAGTGTTACGACCTGGCCGGTGCACGATTGATCCTGTTGATCTCGACGTCCGGAGTCTACGGAATCGTTTATTCTGTTTAGCAACACTCCGTTGAAGACTTTTCCTGGTAATGAGAGAATAGTGATATCCCTGTAGTTCTCACACTTTCTGAGTTCGCCTTTCTTTGATATCTTGATCAGGTGTCCTTCTTTCCAGTCTGTTGGTACTTGTTCTTCATCTCAAATCTTGCTGAAGAGAGTGTTGAGTATTTCTGCAGTTACTGTTAAGTCTACTTTCAGTGTCTCTAATGAGATGTTGTCTGGTCTCTCTACTTTGCTGCTCTTGATTTGTCTGATGGCCATGCTGATCTCTTCAGTCGTTGGTTGGCCAACATCGATTGGGATGTCCGTGTGTGCTACTCCGATGTTGAGTGGGTTCAGTGGGACTGGTCGATTCAAGAGTTCCTTAAAGTGCTCTACCCACCTGTTTCACCTTCCTTGCTTTTCATTGGTCTTTCTGGTTCACGATAATTTCCAGCGAGCTACATTGTTGTATCATACAATTTTCTCATATTTCCTTCTCTTACAACCTTTTCCGCTGTCATCGCTGGATATTTCATGTATTTACGTTTGTTGGCTCTGATGTTTCTCTTCATTTGCTTGTTTACTTCTGTGTATTCAGCTTGTGCTTCGGCTTTCTCTGCACTTGTTCGGCTGATACTGATTGCTGTCTTGTTGTTCTTTCTTTCTTGAATCTTATCCGGTGTATCAACAGTGATCCGTTCCTTAAGATGATGCCTCTTGTAGCCCAGAACCTCATGACATGTTGAGGTGATTGCCTCCTTAATCCTTTCACAGTTTCTCTACATGGTAGATCCCTCTCCATTGAGTATTAACTTTTTTCTACGATAAGAATTTCATAGAAGATCATTTTAAATCTATATCAATTATAAAGCATACTAAAAAAAACTTATCCAAGGATTCTAAACTGATGACCGATTTAGGCATGAAATTACAAATTCGAAATGCCTGATTTCACTAAATATAGGACACAAACTGTACATGTTTAAAAACGACAAAACGTGAGATATCCAGTTATCAATTACGTTGGCAAATGCTCAATCCGAGAAGAAGTGAGCCTTTTATATACTTCAATATGAATAAAATTAAAATGGTTATTTTATCGCAGAAAACAGAACTTACATGTATCATGTGGAAATATAAGTAGTTTGCTGAGATATGCAGTTGCCAAAAATGACAGTATACGAATTATGCAGTTGACCATGACTCAAACTACTAACTAAGTATGAGTAGTATGATATTGAAGTAGTAGAAAAGCGACTGTTAAAATTATAAAATCGCCTATTTTAAGTGAATTGATGTGCTAAATTTTAAGTATAGGATTTTCAGGAGAGGGCCCTTGCATTGAGTTGCCATTAAAACCTTTTACAATAGTGTATGGCTATATTCAGATGGAATTCTCCAAGGTTGTTAACATAATTTTATGTTAACTGCTATATGTATGTTGCTCATTGTAATAACTTAAATACAAAGTTGATCAATAGAATATAATGAGCACATGTAACTGGAGAATATGACATTAATTAGTTTACAATGGCTGATCAGTGTTTTTAGTGAATTCGGATCCTCTGAGCTGGTCAATTTGATCGTACGTCTTTCCTTGTCTTTCTACATAACAGCAAAACATGATTGAAATTCTGCGAGAGCTGATAACTTATGGTAGGTTAGAACTAAAGTCGCCCAGTTTCCCAGTCTAAGACGTTACAACAAAGATTTCAGGAAGCGACTGACATCCTATAGGACTGAAATATTTACAGCCGGTTTTTCAGTCAGCAATATTACTGTCACCATCAAAAGCTATTGGAATACCATAAAACTGATTATAATTTATTTTTCAATCATAAAGCGTATGGTATTGTAGTTATAATCATAGAAAGAACTAAAACCTAACAACTTTAAAGATTTCACTTATCAGAATCATATCCTTTATCATATAGATTCGTACACATACATCAGTATTGAACAATGTTCCATAAGTCAAACATCACCGTATGCAAAATCAGATGAAATTATAATTGTACATAAAAAGTAAGTGTTTTAAATTACATTTGTAGTAATTTTCAGTAAAACTGTAATTGTATGATCAACGCAACATCAGGTCTATAAGTTGAGATTTTCTTTTGTACTTCACATCATGAAGTGATCATAGTTGGACTACCTGTGAAAACCGCTTCGTTCAAGTATGAGACTCTTCAAAAGTGCGTATCCATATTTTAGGATCCTCAGATCTCTTGATGAACTCGAAATTCAACAAGTGGAATATCAAATAGCATTTGTCTTATTAAACAACTTTTGAATGTTAATTTTATATCATATACACATTACCTGAGATTAATAAGAAAAACGTATATTATGCCGTCACTCAGTGAAATACTAAGAATTCGTCCCTTTTTTTAACTTTCCTCAATTAAATCATAACATTCAGTCAGTCAGTCAGTCAGTCAGCTACAACTTAGGACCAGGCACATATATGCATCGGTTCAAGTTGCCATACGTCATTAGCACAACAAGGTGAACACCGAATTCATAGACGTAGTTAATTAGGTGGTGATAATATATAAAAGAAAGATTGCAATAAGGATATAGTACAGGAAGAAAGAATTAGTTCGTAGAAAGAAAGATATGAAGTGATTTTAATCTCTTAGTTTAAGGGAAGACAGAGAGTGTATACACCTACGCCATTGTGATCGATTCTGAGCCAGTGTCACCCAGTCTCCAATCATTGGTTATGATAGCCACGAGGACCCGGACCAAGTAGTATGCATCTAACAACATAGATCAGACCAGAAGTTAGTGAATTCAAGAAGTGATGCCACATTTTGGTTTGGCCGCCCCTAACTTCCTTCCAACCATCCCCAACACTAGTCAGCATTGCACGTCGTGGTAATCGGTGATTGGGCATACGTAACACGTGGCCTAACCATCTCAGTCAATGGAGATTCATAACCTCATCAACTGATTTACCATCAATCCGTATGTTACAACTGTTATGACTTTATGTCCGGCTTTTATCACTTGATTTATCCACCAATCGAAATACAACTTATACTGGGTTTATATATCAACCAAACAGATCGCAACGCACCATAAAATAGGAAATAATATTTGTACACAATAAAGCCAAAGAGTGACTGTGAACGTGGGAGTCAGTAGTTTATAAACTGAGCATAATTTAGAGACACTAAATCGTACAATAATAAATTATAGGTCAAAATGAAGCTTATAATAAGGGAAAGATAAATATACATAATATATAGTTATTGAATAATTATACTATAAGAATATTTATAGAATATTAGTCCATTAATAATCCTGGGAAGTTATCTGTAATTTAATCTTCACTAGGATATCACAACAACTTGTGACTTGTGTGCCTTGTTAATGTATAACGTAACGATACCGCCAATTAGAGAGCAGTGACTTATCGATCGAATCAATGACGTGTAAACCCGTATGAGCAGCCTAGAGTTCTAATTGGCCCTGCTTCCCGCCTAGCCCAGCCAGTTAATTCCAGAACACCAGTCCGAGTCTCTGCGATATGAATCATTATATTTCAAACAAACTGAGTTTATATACCAATCAAACAGACCACAACGTACCATAAAATAGAAAACAACATTTGTACAAGATTTGGCCAAATGTGGCTGTGAATGTGGGAGGCAGTGACTAATAGACAGGACATAATTCAAGAATAATAAAACGTATAGTAATATAGGTGTCATTACCAAGGTTTGAATTGATAATTTCGAATAAATTGAGCATTGGGTTGATTGTTATAAATAAAAATAATATATTTGTAATACCTCAATGAGTAGAAAAATTGGATTTTCCGATGTTTCGTGACTTAGTGTAAGTCACTTCTTCAGAGAATAAATAACCAAATTAAAATTAATCCAAGTTTAAATAGTACAACGGAACAATGCAAGAATATTACATGTGATCAATCAAAAAACAGGTCTGAACAAGTTGATGTCATGTCATTTCTGTCAAGGTGATTCATAAGTGATATGTATGTAAATTTGTCTGTGTATGTATATGTGCATTGTGACCTCTATAGTAAAAAAGGATAGAGTTTAAATTTGCAATATGATAGTGTGAAATTGTAAATACGATCAGACTGAATGGCTAGGATAGATAGTCCAAGTAGGATGTATGGTAAGACCTTCCTTTCTATTGAGAGAAGTAAAATTAAGCATTATATGGAACGCCTCAGCTACCCTTCTTTCTTTCTGGTTGGAAAAGCCTTTTTGGAATATTTTGATATTTTTAAAATCGATTTAGTGGTTGTTGAAAATGGCATGAACTGCTATTGCCGATTTAATTTGAAGTTGGTTCAATTCTACAGGATTGTTAGGAGGTTTCTTTGTGTACCTAATATGTTCTTTGGCTCTAGTCACGATTTCGCGGGATGACTCTCCAATATAATAGGCATCACAATCAATACAACCTAATTTGTAGACGCAGTTCTGTGTGGACATGAAATGGATTTTTTCTTTCAGGCGAACTAAAGTATTACGTAGTGTGTTCGTTGTTTTGTAATACACTTTAATTCTGTGATGTTTTAAGATTCTTTGAATTTCTTCTGTTGTGCCATGACGGTATGGTAGGACTACAGTGCCAATCCAAGGCATTTCATTCGAATCATTATTATAATGTAATAAACTGTTTTTAATATGCTTCTAATAATCTTCATAGGAAAATTATTAAATTGTAAGATGCTAACTATAATCATTTGTTCTTTTTGTTTGTCCTCCTCTGATGTGATGATTTTGTTAGCTCTTCTAAAAAGATTTAGGGCTAGCGAGATCTTTGCAGTGAAAGGATGTGCTGAATGGAAGTCAATATAACGATTTGAATGTGTCGGTTTTTGGTAAATGGATAGGTTTAGACTTCCATTTGGATTTCTTTTTACTAAGCAATCCAAGAATGGTAGTTCACCATGTACACTTTCATTTTCATTCGTGAATTTGATGTGCGATGAAAGTGTATAATAATAGTTTTCAGGTCAAAATAAAGCTTATATTAAGAGGAATATGAATATGAGTAGTTTGGTTATTCAACATTTATATGATAAAAATAAAAGTTTAGTATTGGTCCATAAATGGATCCCAAAGTTACCATTCATTATGCTTATCGGAACCCAACACAATAATACCCTGTGTCTAACCTCATTATTACTTAACCGGTGAGCCCAGCAGATGCGAGCAATATTTCTAAGGAATCTGTGGTCAAATACTAGTAGATCACGAGTATCTTCTACTCTTAATGGCCACGCTTCGCAGCCGTAAATTAAAACAGAACGAACTGCCGCGCAGTATACTCGTCCTTTTATTGACAGACGGATATCTCGCCTTCGCCATAGGTGATGTAAGTTGACAAAAGCCAAACGAGTAATATACAGAAAATGATTTGAAAATTCATTCATAATGGTCATAGCTATTTGAAGTCACCTATAAAGATATTTATGATATAGTAAATGAACGGATCTTCTTTTGAATAAATGAGTATTTGGAAAACAAATAGTTTACTTCAAGATAGAAAGCTACCTGAAAGTACCATAGATGTTAAAAACTTATGACATTTTACCTGTAGATTCTTGATGTTTACGATCTTTGTACTTATAGGATAATGTGTGGCACATACATTACCCAATCGTAGTAGTGTTGATTAAATGTATTAGTACTGTTAACATTATTTCATTGAGTATTATTTCTTCTTGTGAATATTTTGCACTGAATTAGTAAAAGAGAATGACATTATATAATTCAGAATGATTACCGAATGCTATTTAAAGATGCTTTCATAACACCTTACTTTTAAATAGTCCCCATAAAAGAAAACCTAATTATGTGGTGTATATGTTACTGATGTCGACAGATATAAGTAGTATGTATCACCAATCGAAAGTGGAATGACTGACCATATAAAGTTGAGAAAACTTAAGGTAAGAGAATAAGAACAGATAGTGATTGGTATAGGAACAAAAGAACAATCAAGTCTGAGACAATTGATGGACATTTCGCAAATGAATATCGACTGTATGGTTCTTAGATTTTACCAAGATATTCTGTAATACAACTGGATGTCCCCACTTGTGTTCTCATTCACTATAATTCATCATCCGGTAATAATTTGTTTTATTTGACATACAGCCTATGAAAGTCTAATCAAAAAAGGTGTGGTATTGGAAATTTAACAAGACAATTTCTAAAGTATACTGATTTAATATTTATGGATAAAGTTTGTAGTATTGAAATGAACGAAAACTCACGTACGGGATAACCAATTTACTGTTTATTATAAAATTACACTATGGTTTAGTAAAGTATAAAAAATATACATTAAATACATGATTGGCATATCTTCTTTGATTTGTCGTTTAACCAATACACTATTCCTCTGATTCTGTTGATATTTTGATTGCTCTTAGATTTCTTTTCTGTTCTCTTCAATTCACTCTTCAGCTACCAGGCATTCCACTTCCGCTTACATACTACTTATATCTGACAGTATAAGTAGCATACACTACAGTATAAATAATGAGTTAAGTGAGTAAAAACTAAATCATTATATTCAATAAAGGATAGTTGGAAACATCACTAGACTTTTATGTCATATATGTAAACAGTGATCTACCAGGAATTTCTTTAAGCTTGAAGAAATTTAAGACTCTTCATAAATTCAGATTCAAAATACTCAGTACTATGCCTTAAAATGATGGTATTTTGTCTTCTCTTAGTATATACATATCTGTTTTATTTGGTTAATTAGATTTTCTGGCTACAGGACGAATAACGCATTGTATAGTACTCAATATTGACTGAATAGTTCAGTACTTTTTCGCTAAATGTTACTAATAGCATTTGTTGCTCCCAAATGCCCTGGTACGGTCGAGAGTGGGGAGACTCAGCTCTCCCTCTCGAAATCCTCTCACATAGGCACGTGCAAACAACTACTGCTAGGGAAGTCCTACTCGCTGCCTCCTCGAGGCAGGGTGTTGTTTACAAAATCGAGAGGACGAAAAGTGAATATCCAGCAATTTAACCAGGTTGATGGACATGGAGAGTCCACCTAGGGGATTTGGAAAACCCTGATTCCAAACTAATGGTGCACATGGGTTCCAGAACCCTGATGGAACAAAAGGCGTATGAACCAATTTTTGGTCACCGGCTACCGTGGGACTGCATCTCCTGACGTTGCCTCACTGTCTTGTGATTCAGACCTTTAGGTAGAAGGCTCCGGGTGTGGCCTTCTAAGAAAACCACCTGCTTCGGTTTGGACACCAGGGAAGTATCTCAGCCCTTACACAAATCGAATGATTTATGTGGCTCCTATCTATTTGGTGCCTCGATGTACCAATGTTTATGTGTTTAAATAACTACATAAATAAACTTATAGTCAGTATTTCAGAAATAGTTTCCAGTTCTTCAAGGTTGTGAATGCTGTTTACTCACAATCATTAAAAAGAAGCATGAAATAAAGATTGAACATTGATTTTCTTATTAAATAGCCTTTCAGTTAGCTCATGTACGATTTATCTTCCGTCTGACCAAAAGACAATGTTTTGAAAGTATAAAAAAATGCTGTAAAATAGCTGGAAATGTATGAAACACATTTGTAAGTGACGCAATTTTGGACAAATTTCTTCCAAATGTTGTATCACCTATAATTGATTGAACTATCTGTTTCGGCTACTCTAATTCATATACATTTCTCTTCATCTCTTATTGTTCGGTCGCCTGTACTGTCGAATATCGGTAATATACATTCCTTAAATAGTTTCCTATTTGACGTTGTCACTAACGTGCTTTGTCGACAAGATACATATGAATATATATTTTATGTAACATCAATATCATTCAATCAAATGTAGAATCAACCACAGGCACCAAATATTCCTAGACTGGAAACACTCCCTGAAATAGGTTAATTGGTTAGATGTAGAGTGATCTGTTCAGGGAATTCGATTTCAGGAACTGTAATAATTGAGGATAACCACTAGACCATTTGATTATTCTACTAAACTATCATTAAATTTTTTTGGAAGAAAATCGTTCAAGTTATAGCAACTTAGGTGCAATTGAGTTTGTTCTCATTTAACAAAGTCATCCTTACTACAACAACATATTGTACCTTTATTATTGTTGTGCTTGTATGAAATATATAGGCTTGGACATTGCTTACCACATATCCATATATTCATTCTACTAGCTTTATTATTAACTGCTTAATTGATTTGATGATCCATTCATTTCCCAATATATATACATGTACATTTAATACTCTACACGAACTCTCGGTTCGCTGACTCATTCATTTGCTTCACTGCTTTGTGATCTGAGTTATCTGCTAAGAAAATTATAGTCGCTGCATCTCTTTGCCTTCTGATTTCAAACACCGTTGAGGATTATATGGTAACGGTTACGAGGGTGATTAGTTAACGAAACACAGCCACCACAAAGTCTCGGAGTGAACATCAACTCTGGAATGCAGGTACATCCAGCTGACGAGTCTTGAGTAAGACAAAACGAGCGTCCTGGATCCCACTGCTAGCCACTATACATCTTTGCTTCAAAATCATTCTACCGAATGTTTATTTATATGGAACAATATTATATATCCTTTTTTATAGTTTTCTATTATATTCACCTGAAGTTATTAACGAAATAAAATTCCATTCAAATCATTTATCAACATATGGAAACTTCGCCATTCCATTGAATAAATATACTTTAGTCAGTAGTATGAAGTTATTAACAAATATAACAGAAGCCAATTCATTTCAATTGAATTCAAATGTAATGGGATTTTATTCAAACCCAAGTTTTACAGCCACATCAGAACTACATATCAATTGTATATTTCGTGTTTGCCAACACATTAGATGGTGTGTATGGGTAAGTAAACCAAGGATAATACATTAATTGACCTTGAGAGGTTCTTTATTTTAACGATTTCACAAACCAATCCAAGTTAGAGAACCACTGAAGATCTGCAAGCACTAAACAAACATTCCTCAACAGTATGGAACTCCATAGAAGTGCACATTCACAAACCCATAATCATGAACTAATCTCAACACCTCCAATTTCGCGTGTAAAAGTTCAGTATCTAGATTATTGAGCTGACATCTAATGGTGAACAAATCTAACTTTATTCAAACCATGGTAATGCTCTATCATCTCATATTTCGTAGGGTGGATAACTATCTCACATCTAACATGAACTGAACTTTACTGGTCATAGCTTAGATTGGTTCGTGATTTTAATGAAAATCAACAATCTCCACAACCCCATATTGATATATTTTTATTTTGACTAACCTTCGTATCGTTTTGTTTTTCATAGTTAAAGTTTTAGTAGTTAATCTGCGTGTTGATTCAATATGTATCTAATACAGTAGCCTATACACTCGAACATAACTATTCGTCACCTTAAACAAAACAAAATAATATTCAGACAGGTTCTACTATTTCATGTCATTAGATTCTTCTAGTCGAAAAAATTCAATGGAAACAATAACAAATTATAGCTGGTAAATGATTTGAAATAAGTGTAGATGATTAAATGGCAAGTTATTGTTATTCCATACACCATAGGTACTAGTGAATACAATGGAGATTGTATTCATTCCCGTAAAATAACTAAGATGTGTTGTTTTCATTGTTAATCACCTCCTCTGACGTAATCTTAATGCTTAACATTACCATGATTTTTCATTGAGCATCTCCTTGCAGTATCTGAGCAAAAAATTATTCATTAAATGAGAAAAAATTGTCATAGATCAGATGGGTTATCTGTAAAATGACTACATTTAGCTAATTCCCATTCCAAGCTACACTATAATTTGATCAACTATCTAAAATTTCAGTTTTTCCCCTAAAATTTAGTTAGTGGCTAGCATTGGAATCTGGAATGTGCATTTCGTTCAATTTGGGATTTTGACTAAATGGTACTAACGAAGTAATCAGTTTAGGAACCATCTCTGGTAACAGAGGTTATTTACAGTACTGTAATCCATGATGGAAGGTGTATTTCATTCTTAGGCGTTTTAGCTGGCTTAGATGAAAAATGTAGTTTTCAATGACAAAAATAACACTTTATCATACTACGGAAGTACCAAGCATAGAGCAATTAGTTATGATGGAGAAAATTTTCAAAATAACAAAAGTCATATCTCTTATTAATTCTGTGATAGAAATTGTTTCTAAATGTCATAAACTAGGTGACTTATAAAACGAAAACATAGTTGTATTAGTATAGGGGTTGTGGAGATTACTAAGTTTTTTTGATTGAGATCATGAACCGATTGATGTCAGACCACCATTGGAAACCTGGAAGCACTGGACGTCCTAATGTGGGACTCCTCAGCAATGCGCATCCACGATCCCACTCGCTGGATTCGAACTCAGGGCCTTCGGTCTCGCGCGCGAACGCCTAACCAACTGGACCACTGAGCCGCCAGTGGATCTAATCCATGTCGAGTAGAGACAGGTATCTACCTCAGTACAACCGAAGTTGGTCGCGCAATTTCGTGGATTGGTTGGTGTTAGACATTATCACCACTGCATGCCTGCTCAGTGGTCCAGTTGGTTAGGCGTTCGCGCGAGAGACCGAAGGCCCTGAGTTCGAATCCAGCGAGTGGGATCGTGGATGCGCACTGCTGAAGAGTCCCATAATAGGACGTCCAGTGCTTCCAGGTTTCAAAGGGTGATCTGACATCAATCGGTCCATAATCTCAATCAAAAAAAATCATGGTTGTATTTACTGATTACGATACATTTAGATGACTTGACAACATAGAGTTTATTCCAAAACCTAAATAGCATTTTAGCTTTATAAATGACATCAGTTCATAATGAAAACTCTAACTCTAATCCCCAATCCTAACATTTATCTCTAAATCCAGATTCCGATTTCTCATACTAATTCATATCTTTCTTTTAATCCTAGTAAGTAGGTGAATGGGTGAGATTATAATTTAAGGACGACATTTGAGCGATGCTAAAATGACCTTGAGAGTGCCCACCTAATAACTGGAACCAAATGAAGGTTATAAAACCATATGAGGAATTCGAATTATAATTTACAGTTGGTCGTTAAGGTTAGGAATTAGATTTAGGGTTTTCATCATGAACTGACATCAACTATAATGCCAAAACTCTATTCAGCCAAATGGATAGGTGAATGTCACGCCAAAATCCAAAACCTGTTATCTTATACGTGATTGGTTTGTCCATAAATTATAGTCTTGCCGGTGGATGTTCACAAGGTCACTTCACTATTGCTTAAAGGTCATCTATCAATATATTTATTTAACATGACAGAATCCTTTTACTTTTAATATTTTCATTCTACAGCCTTCATATTGTAATGATCATATGAGATCGTTACATTATGATGTACATCAATCAGATTTATCGGAGAGTGATATGTTCCCATCAATATTAATGTTAACGAAATCGTTGAAAATTAAAATTTCCAACTATAATTCAATATCTCCATCACCATATTCTTCTCCTTATTCCCCTGTATTTATACAGAATCAAAGTATAAGTAAGTTTAATATTTTTCTCATGTAGTTGCTTTTTAATAATCCTTTTTTTACAATCAAGTGGTGTACATGTTTAATTTTAATCAAGACATAATAATGTATTCACTATTGACTAGTTTATAGATGTAAATCGTAGAGTTCTAGTGTAAAGCTATGATCAATGAAGTTCACTTCATGTTAGATGTGAGATAGTTATCTACTCTACGAAATATGAGATCATGGTTTGAATAAAGTTAAATTTGTTCACCATTAGATGTCAGCTCAATAATCTAGAGACTGAACGTTTACGCGCGAAACCAGAGGCGTTGAGATTGGTTGTTGATTATGAGTTTGTGAATGTGGACTTCTATGGAATTCCATACTGTTGAGGAATGGTTGTTCAGTGCTTCCGGGTTTGAAATGGTTATCTATGATCAATTACACATATAAAACCTATGTAGTGATACTGTTTCATTTTAAGATAAAGAAAAGAGAATTAGAGAAACATGGGATTTCTTATATTCTTGAGTTCTTTGAACTGGACATTTTAATTACGGAGCTTTCATTGTCATCCCTAACAATATCATCAGCTCTTACTTCACGTAGTAATAAACTTTTTAGTTATTTGACTTATTCTTTCATGAATTAATTTGTATATTGTCAATGTACATTCACAACATAAATTTTGCATTATATCTTCAGAAACTGTAATTATGAACTACTATTTGATTCTTTGTGTTATTATACTGTATTAAATAAAGGGCTTCATTATACTTCCACTCATTTGGTTAACTGTTATTGAATATCTAAGAAGCAAACTACTTACAAATTATGAGTAATAACAAGTATAAACTAAGATGGATAGTGACTAGTAATGGAATCCAGGACACGCAACGTTTCGTCCTATTTGGGACTCGTCAGTTGAATGTACCTGCATCTGAGAGTTGATGTTCAATCCGGTACTCCAAATCAGTACCGTTCGCTTCAAACTTCATCACGTTATCCACTTAGCTACTAAATCCTGATAGCCATTCGCTTGTGCAATGGGGTGAAGTTTAAATACACTTTGTATTGTTTGTTTGAATCTTCGCATTAATGTTTAGAACTGCAATGATCGAGTATCAGAGTGAACATCAACTCTGAGATACAGGTACATCCAGCCGATGAGTCTCAAATAGGACGAAGCGGCACGCGTCCTAGATTCCACTGCTAACCAATATCTATCATTGCTTAATTATAAACAATTTCTAATTGATATTTCTCTTTTTATATATAGATTCTATTTGTCAATCTGATAATATATTTATCAAATTCTCTACACATTTTATAATTTTTATCATTTGTTTAATAAGTGGAATCAGTTTTATAACATTCTATTATCAATGTAATTCCTCAATATATCAAACTCCCTACAGTCGATGTTGTTGTCAATCCTTCTATCGATCTAATCATGAAAAATACAATGGTAATCCATTGATTACTTATAACTTATGTAATAATCCTTTGAATACTAAAGTATTACAATCCATTACTGATGAAAATGATAACAAACATTATTCTATGAATAATATGCTTAAAGAGAAATTTCAACAAAGTTATCATTGTTCACAAGTGAGATGTATTCAATCCGATTGTTCACTTAAAACTGATCATGATAGATTTCATAATCAAGAGGAGAATCTATATCATCATGATACATTAAAAGAGATAAATATTCGAAATTGTGATGATAATGATAATGATGTTGATGATGATCATACAATTTGGGACAAAATTATCCCAGTCTGTTATGAAATGAACTCCAACTCAAATATTATTGAAATCTATAAAAATCAATTATCCTCATTATGTCATTCACAACAAAAAAATATTTTAGTTCCTTGTTGTTTACACAATCAAAATTTATATTTTCATCAATCATATTGGGATAATAATACTATTGATAAGCCAGAAACTACTTACAAATCTATAAGTAGTACTGATTATATATGTTATAATAAAAATTTTGATGATTTAACAAATATTGTTACAGTTAAAAATGATTTATCTAATGATAATTATGATGAGCAAATATTTAATGTATAAAAATGATTAAAATGGATATAAAAGTTGTACATTGTGAATAAATGAGTGATGATTATGATTTATGATGAAGCACTCGTTTGTTTTGAATATCATTCTCTAATATTTGAGTATGAAATTTACTTTTACTTACACCTGTTATGCTCCTCGTGGAGGAGCATAGGCCGCTCAGCAGCACTCTCCATCCAACCTTCTCCTAAGGAATCCTTTCCAGTTGTTTTTCATCCTTTTCATATCTGCTTCCGATTCCCGATGTAATGTGTTATTTGGCCTTCCACTTTTCCGTATTTCTTCACGATTCCAAGTGAGGGCTTGCCTCATGAAACAGTTTGGTGATTTCCATAATGTATGTTACCCATTTATATCGTCTTCCCCTAATTTCCTCTTCAACTGGAAGCTGGTTTGTTCTCTCACACAGAAGGCTGTTGTTGATAGTATCCGACCAATGGATGTTGAGTATGTTGCGTAGACAACGATCTATAAAGACTTGTACCTTCTTGATGATGATTGTAGTAGTTCCCGAAGTTTCAGCTCTGTATAACAGAACTGTGTTGATGTTCGAATTGAAGACTGTGACTTAAATGTAGGTTGACAGTTGTGTTCGAGTTCCATATGAACTTCAATTGTAAGAATGCGAAAGCACAATCTATTATTATTTTATTAATATTGATGTGACTTTTGCCTGATTGCTCACCATGTGATATGATCATTAACCAGAATACGAGTTATATAATTTTAACACTATGCCACACCAATAAAATATTGATCGGTTTGTTCAGCCTAGTGTTCTTGTTGAAATTTATCCTGATTAGTCCTGCCTATTGAGTCCAGAACGTTAATAACAGCTCCCACTGTATGAATCATATATTTTAAACATACTTGGTTAATATATAAGCCATCATCAGTTTTCCTTCATTAAATGGAAACGGTTATACTTTGACAGTTAATTTTCAAGAATGACATAAATATTTAGCCAATATTATCTTATAATGAAATTGGATATTATCCTTTTCGAAGATGTTAATGAGTTCTGTACAGAAAAGCACAAATCTTACCACAATTCAGTAACCACATCCATACTAATCTAAGGGAATTCTAGCCATAGTTACTTGTTTAGCAGATGAAAATCTTACTCAGCTAGTATAGTGTTTCAATTTATTCTTTGGATTCAGTTTGGGTTACGATATATTATCCTCTGAACACATTATTAATGTGATAGCTGGTTATACTGTAAAGAAATAGATTAGTGGTTAAATCACTAATCGTTTAACGGTAGGTCGCATGTTCTAACCACATACTACCTAGCCCAATAGTATCATTTGTTCATTGACAGATAATCCTACGCAAATCCGTATCTGGTGAGTTACCTTGTTGATCATCTTCGAGACTGAATTGAGTATATGAATTGGTTGGCAAAATTGTTATTTCTAAAAGTCGATTTTGCGTTACAATATACAGATTTCAAATTTATTTAAACCTATATATCATTTGATATCCTACCTCTTACATATGAATATGGTGACTAGAATATCGGTGTAAAGAGCATATAGTCAATAATCTCATTTAGAGAGATACACTATGTCAAGAAATTAACATTTACCGTTACATTAGTTTCTGATAATAGTATTCAGATGACTGTAAAGCCCCCAAATGCCCTGGTACGGCCGAGAGTGGGGAGAGTCCGCTCTTCCTCTCGAGATGCTCTCACATGGCCACGCGTATATAGCCTCTGTCAGGGAAGTCCTACTCACTGCCTTCTCGTGGCGTGTGCGTTGTTTACGAAATTGAGAGAACGAAAATCAAATGTCCGGTACTGTAGCCGGATTCCAAATCAATGGTACACAAGGGCTCCAGTATCCTGCGGGAACAAATGGCGTATGAACCAATTGTTGGTCACCGGCTACCATGGGATTGCATCTACTTACGATGCTCCACTGCCATGTGGGTCAGACCTTCATGTCGAAGGCTCGTGGTGTGGCCCCCTAAGAAAGCCACCTGCTTCAATTTGGGCACCCGGGCAGTATCACAGCCCTCATACATATCGAATGAGATTTGTGTGGCGCATATGTATTTGGTGCCTCCTTGTACCAATATCTGTGTTAAAATAAAATAAAATAAAAAAACTCAATCTGAAATGACCTTGGGCAGTTTCGGTGTATAAACCAAATCTATGTGTTATAACTCTGTTTCTTCTTACTGTTAATGACCCAGCTATTCCTATTGCTTAGTATTCTCGGACACCGATTCCCTCGACAAGTCCCCAAATCAGAACACGGTTGAACAGGAAAAAGATTATATTCCAAATAGCAAGTCAGAAGCCAGTAGGAAGCACAATAGGGGAAAACGTCGGTATATTTATAGTTTTTACATAAGAAGATTCCAGAGTATTCTCCGACTATCGACTAGTGCTGATTGGATAAGAATCAGCCAATCAGCGTGCACCAAAACAATCATGCATTGAGCATGCTTTAATCTAGTCTATGTCCCGCTAACACTATGTAACAATTATTTATTCTCAGAAGGGTTTTTTATGGATATTATAGTAATTTAATAGATGAAACCATGATTCAGTTGAAGCTAAATCACCATGGAAAACCGGGAAGCACTGAACGACCGTTTCGTCCTATTGTGGAACAAAAAAAACAACGGACACACTACGTAATACTTTAGTTCGCCTGAAAGAAAAAATCCCTTTCATGTCCACACAGAACTGCGTCTACAAATTAGGTTGTATTGATTGTGATGCCTATTATATTGGAGAGTCATCCCGCGAAATCGTGACTAGAGCCAAAGAACATATTAGGTACACAAAGAAACCTCCTAACAATCCTGTAGAATTGAACCAACTTCAAATTAAATCGGCAATAGCAGTTCATGCCATTTTCAACAACCACTAAATCGATTTTAAAAATATCAAAATATTGCAAAAAGGCTTTTCCAACTACAAAGAAAGAAGGGTAGCTGAGGCGTTCCATATAATGCTTAATTTTACTTCTCTCAATAGAAAGGAAGGTCTTACCATACATCCTACTTGGACCATATATCCTAGCCATTCAGTCTGATCGTATTTACAATTTCACACTATCATATTGCAAATTTAAACTCTATCCTTTCTTACCATAAAGGTCACAATGCACACATACATACACAGACAAATTTACATACATATCACTTATGAATCACCTTGACAGAAATGACATGACATCAACTTGTTCAGACCTGTTTTTTGATTGATCACATGTAATATTCTTGCATTGTTCCGTTGTACTATTTAAACTTGGATTAATTTTAATTTGGTTATTTATTCTCTGAAGAAGTGACTTACACTAAGTCACGAAACATCGGAAAATCCAATTTTTCTACTCATTGAGGTATTACAAATATATTATTTTTATTTATAACAATCAACCCAATGCTCAATTTATTCGAAATTATCAATTCAAACCTTGGTAATGACACCTATATTGTGGAACTCGTTAGCAGTGAACATCCACGATCCCACCTCACCAGGTTCGAACCCAGGCTCAATGGTCTAGAGGTTAAGCGTTCGCACGCGATATTGATAGGTCCATGGTTTTGAATCTCGCGAGGCGGGATCGTGGATGCGCACTGCTGAGGAGTCCCATACTAGGACAAAACGGTCGTCCAGTGCTCCCAGGCTTTCCATGGTGATCTAGCTTCAATTGACTCATGATCTCACCTATTAAAATTATTTATTCAATAAAAAAGTAGTTTAATAATATTACTATTAATAATGATTGATTTTCTAAACGAAAATTAACTCAATCTAATAAGTCTTTTGTTATTTTAACTCCATTCTATTAAAACCAACCTACATTATCAATGATCTTGGTAACAATGAAAATATATGATAAATTTAACAGGTTATATCAAAATAGGTAGATACTATTCTTGAGAATTCAAATAATACTTCAGCCTACTTTCGAAACATCAATAAAAATGACAGACAACAATGTGCATACACATTTAGTCACCTTTATTTATTGTATATACATAGGTATGTTAGATTTACTTAAGTTGAATCATTCAAAGGTATTATTAGGTTGTATAAGTAATTTAGGCTAATACAAAAAGCACTCATTCAATGTATCAGTAAATGATGTTAACTTTGATTGATCGTTTAGGTACATGGAATGAAGCGAAAACTTATTATCAATCAGTTCTCATGAATAAACTTATTCTAAACATGCTATATCTGTGACGGCAGATTAGAGGACAGCGAATTATCGGTTGGACCAAAGACACGCAAACACGTAATAACGGCCTAGGGTTCTGACTAGTCCTGCTTCCTTGTCTAGCCCAGCCAGGTGAGTACAGAACACAAGTCTCAGCCTCGGAGATATGAATCATTTATTTCAAACATACTCTGTTTATATACCAATCAAGCAAACCACATCGTACCATAAAATAGAAAATAACATATGTACAATATTGACCAGTAGGAAAATGATACTGTCTCAAGTTCAAAGATGTCGTTAGACTTAACAGAATAATTTTTGGGATATTTTCCTGAATATCCCAACAAAACATACAACTTATGTAAATGTTTATAAATTCAATCAAATATTTTGAATAGACTAGTGTCGTTTAGTCGAATAGTTGGCTAATTATTTACAGATAACATTATGAACATTGATGACTTTTACAAGTAAATTATTCCATATTGTATCACCGGAGTGTTGGGGTGATCCAGAAATCGCTTGCAAAAGACAAGCAAGCATCAAGAAACACTAAGAAGTGTTTCGCCCAATCAGCGTTCACTTGGAGTCTTGGCCAGAAATATCAAGGTAGCAAAACGTCACATGCGGGAGCTTTGATTGGTTGGCTACTACATTGCTACCTATGTTTGGTAGCATTCCAGAATATTTCAGCGACCCAAGGACATTTATATATATTATAAAAGCCCTATATTTTATGTAATAAAATGAACCTCGGAGTAAAGTGTTTTCCCCCATGCTTGCGTCTTCTCTCTGGTATCCAAG